TGTTAGGGAACAAATTAGATCGCAATATTCATGTACAAGGAAAAAGTTACGAGGGTAAGTTGGTGCGCGTACTCAAACCCCGGACGGGGACACTGAAGGACGCTTTAATATCATCACTAACCCCCCCCCCACCGGACCAACGGCGAGCGCGTGTATGTCAAGGGAATGTGCCCTAACCTCGGGTGAGGTCATAGGGGTACATTATCTAGTAGTGCAACTAACCCCAACTAGAATAAAGGCGAACAAGTGAAGAAGGATGAAGATTGTAAAAATTCACCATACTTAAAATTTGTAAGCGGACGATTACACCCGTGATTAAGTTGAAAAGCCATTTTGCTTAATATATTGTCTTAAGTGGTTATTGTATGTGGTGGCCTTCCGAGGACCCTTCTGCGGTTCAATGCCGTCATCCAGTCCTCGTTGGATCGACGGTTGCTGCTCAGTAAACAGGAAGATTTCGGATAATGCAACCTACTTAAAATTTGTAAGTAGGTGGTTATAATACACAAAGACCTTTCGAAGACCCCACGAAGAATCCATACCAGATTTTTTAGTTTTACCCCCCTCGTATGTATGTGTTCCCACTGTAAACACCGGGACTCAACCAAAGCAGCGTGTATTTAGTGACCGTACTCAATAAACGAGACCACAGAGTCCTTTCCGAGCGGAGTTATACGTGACTTATACAAAGTTAACCTAGATCGCAAGCGGCTTTCAGTTTGCTTTGGGAACTTCATGTGGTAAATTTCCGCTGCAGTTTCCTGCTGCCTGCCTTTTGTGTCGTATTTTTATGCTGATGTTCAAACTTCGGGTGAGGTTAACTTCGCCAACTTCTTCCTTCCTTGTCTCAGGCGCTCTTTTCTGATCTGCCATCGGCACCAGATTTGCATGAGATTATCGGGGGCTCGGATGAAGAAAATGATTACGGACCCGAAGGTCAGGAGGAGCTCACAACACCCGAACTCGTGAAGCGACTACGTTTTGTAAGTCCGCTGCGGTTATTTGCCCCTTCCCACTTCACTGTGCAACCCCATTAACATCGGTCCCTTCACTTTACGCAGGCCTGGCAGAACGAAAAGCTAGCTCCAGAACTCCTTGTGGCTCGTCCTCAGTTAGTGGGTCTTGTTCAAGAGGAGCTTGACCGCCTGGAGGTCCGCGCGAAAATGTTCCCCAAGGGTGACATCAAATCTCAAATAATCCTGATGCAGGTACTTCTTGACTCTTACTTAGTCATATAATTGGTTCATTTGGACTTGACACTTCACTTTGTTAATCTTATATTACAGGTTGATCGGCTGCGTTACATGCTCAAGGATTACCTGCGAACTCGGATTATGAAGGTACGCGTGAGCAGGTGCGGAGTGTCTTAGTTAGTTCTCATTGGCACGGTTCCGCTGCATCCAAAAATTTACTATTTATCCCCTTAGTAAACTTGTTCGAAAACTACTGAGTATCACTAGTTACCGAATTAAACTGTAATTTATACCGAAATGCGCTCGATCACCCGAATTTTTGAGACCCGTATTACTTACCAGAGGTATGTATTGTAACCATAGAAATAATGCTAACCTGTCGTCGATGACCCTTTTGTAACACGATGTTCATAACTGGAAACTTCATTTCGCAATTATCAACAAGACACAACCGTGAATTTTTTGAAACTCAGGAATGTTGTGCAATTCAAGCAGGATGTTTGACTATCCTGAAAATGTATTCTTATTTAGCGTCTAACCAAACTGGTCTTAATTATGTAGTTGTTTTCCTCTTTCGCCGTCCCGAACGTTTTTAGTGGGAGCGGGGGTCTTGAAGACCGCTTTCGTTACGCGTTGTCACCTTGATGGAGCGTGCTTGTCACTCTGCTTCCCCTTCGAATGAGTTTGTAGCGTGGCCTTGTCTACGCTTATGTTCGGTGTGACAATCTTTTCTCCGTGTTTATATATACAATGACGGATGGTTTTTTAAGTCACAAGAAGGTCTGATGGCCTTTTCATAGAGTTACCAGGCCTCAGGGGCGAGTCATTCTGTTTTGAGTACCTCGACCTAAGTGTGGTCACTTTCTCCAGTATGATTTGCAAGCTGGGTCTAGTTTCAGAGTTGCCAGTCTGTGTTCGGGTGGACGTATCTACAGTTGTCAATTAGTTTCCCTGACTTTGTTGTGGGCCCCATCGTTGACACGTATTCAGTAGACGACTACTGCAGTTTAGGTAGATTTCAGTCTGTCCTTCGGCCACATCACTCAGCGACGATTTCTTGTCGGTGATTGACGGGCTATACCTACTCTGGCGTATTTTAACAGTTGGGAGACGTATCGGCGATTCCTTATATGTAGCGAGCGGCCCTACAGAATTCATTTTGCTGTTCTTTTGACCATTCTATGCCCACTTTGCTTAATGAAATAGCTTAGTTGTCAATTAGCTCGGAAGAGGTCATAAAGTTATTGCCCTACAGTTCATTTTTCAGCTGGCGTGCAGCAATGTGCTTCAGCTATTCGGAATCGAGTCCGGAAGTAATTGTTGCCGAAATGTAGTATTTCATTGATATTGGTCGCTTTTCTGAATTCTGTAGTTTGCAGTGGCACAGTGCCGCACAAGGACATCGAGGAATGGAAGCTGGTTGTTTATTTTAACTTCCATCGTTAACTGGATATTCGGATCAACCGACCTTAGTAATTGCTTAGGGTCCTCAATGTTGGATTAGTTGATAATGACAAAGTTGTATCAGTAAACCAAGCTCAGAACTGGAGAAACTGGTCACACTGTTAACATTCCACGAGACACCATATTAGGCTGAGACAGTTCACCCCCGAGGTGTCGTTTTCAGATGCCAATTTCGTCAACAGACATCCACACACTACTATTCATAGAGTCCTATGTCATTACATACCTAAATACCGGACGAAATAGTCAGACCGAACATCAGAAACGGCCCCATGACAAATTTGCATCGTCTAAACCGTGAATGCGCTCTAAACACTGCAATCATCAGACTAAATCCCGGCAAAAGGCCCCAACGCGAGGAATTTATTATATACAGAACCCTATGTTGTTGTCTCAGGCAGCAAGGCCACGGGTTGGTTGGTATTGACTGCGTTTAGTCATCCCACAGAAAGGGTGATGCGGTGGTAGTAACTGCTTTAGTAGGATTCTTGAGCAGGTTCAATTGTTTCCCAAGTGGTGCGTGTGACATTATACAAGGGGTATCGTATCTAGTGGATATGC